GGGAGTAAAAGACGACGTGTGTTCGACACTGACCGTGATCATCGGTTATAGAGAAACAGATTTAAAAAAAAACTTTCCTCAGTAGCGCCTGAAAAGAGGTAATGCCTATCAGAAGGCACTACACAGATGACTGAAAACCACCTAGGCTGCTAATTACTAAAAAATCGAATGGAAACTATCAGTCAGTAATATTTTTCGAGTTTTCAATGATACTTCTTGAAAGGAAAGGGTTGTCAGAACGGAATCATGCCGATGAAACAAATAGAACAGTTTAGAGTCAGGAAAGTCTCTTAAACGGAGGTAATAATCTGAAAATGTTAGCCAGTGAGAAAAAGACGGGCAGATACGAAGGGTGAAGTCTGAGAGACAATTACCGAAACCGAATGCTCGGAGGGAGGGCCTAAGTCACTTATCCACGCAGATGATTCTGTTTCTTTTGGTACAATACCAACGTTAAATTTATACTATTTCCCTGCCAAATCATTTCTTTCCTTCACCACATTGGTCACCGATCAGAATATCAGCACGACTAATGTCAGAAACAGAAAAGATTGTGTTCAAGAATTCAGAAAACAAACCTACCAACATAGTTTGCATCGGCTGACCTCATGAAGCCGCCAATGATGGGGTCCCACGTAGTAGTTATGAATTCTAGTAGCTTGTCGCGGTCAATGCAGGGGTCCATATGGAGCATCTGTAGGGATAGTTGGAGAATAAAATTATTCAGTTAACTAATTATTCCGAGTAAATGAGAGAAAGCCTTGAAATCCGTACGGTTTTGTATGAAAAGCAATTAATCTGCCAAGGATAGAGAATTTTTGCAATATAAATGAAAGGTAGGGCTTTCTTGTGAGGCCGCCCAATGGTAAAAAGGGTTGCTCTGATCCTTTTCTTGGTCTACAGGCTTTTTCGATTAACCAATAGGGTTGTCCTACTAATTTTTTGGTCTGCAGGCTTTTGTACCAACATTTTTAGTCAAGTAAAACAATTGCAAGCGGCTTTGATTTCTTTCCATTTGTTCGTTTTT